GAGCTTATAAAAGAAACGACACACACACACACATCGTTTGCGGTATTTATCCGGCTCTTCCCCCTTACGTCTTACTTTTTGATACAATGTGTCCCGCAAGGATCAGCGTCGACTTTGTGCCACATCTTTTCAAAGCTGCTGCTTCTTTTTTGCCGAATTTCTTTTTTTTTTTTTTTTTTATTATTCTGTATTCACGTAATCTCTTTTATAAATTCTCACCGGCGCGCAACGACAAAATTCGTGCTCGAGAATTCAAATTAATCCGCAGAATAGGAGCTAGGACTATTTCACAAGCGCTGATTAATTATTTATATAATATATATGTATGTATATTTAGATACATGTATATTTATATATATTTTTTATAATATATAAATATATATATATATATATATTACACAAAATTAAAATATTGTTTATATTTAGTATAATTTACATTTATATACTGATAAATAAATACATATGTAATATATAATAATATATTTATAACCAAAACATACACCCATATATCTCCCCTTTTTTGTCATTCGATTGTGATTAACAATTTCAATGTTATAGTTATTATACGTATCTACTCTTTTTATCGTTTTTTATTTCACATAGTGTGATTATTTCACCAACAATTTTTATCGATTTTAATAACTTCGATAGCATCTTGCTATCGAAGATAATCTATCACGTTTTTACAAGTTACCAGCGCTCGTCTGTTTACATAGTCTTTTTTTTACCGTGGGGTGATACAAACTTTTACTAATCATTGATTGATTGATAACGGGAGGCGGAATAGTGACAAGAAAAGAAAGAATAGGCAGGAAACGAATCGAATTGCATTTCACAGAGCGAACGCTTTGGATTTTCCGCTTCGTCAAGCTTCCCGCAGCGATTTGTGTGTTCTACGAGCAAAATTAAACGTACAATTAGAGTGACGATATCACGATTATACACATACGTAATGTGCATGTATGTATACAGATTAAATGATTTTGTAATTTTATATAAATAAGTATATATATATATATATACTATATATATATATTATATACATTATAGCTTCGAGACTCTGTTGAGAAAAAAAGGATCCGCCGTAACGTCAGGTTTATACTTGCAGGTTCCTTTTTTGGCGGTTCCGAAAGTAGGCCCAATTACAAAGTAAATGAAAACAAAATCTTTCTTAGGAAGAAGAGAGATAACTACCGCAAAATGGTAGTCTCTCGGAACGCCTACATCCAAAAAAGATCGAGAGATACACGTATCTTCAAACTACACCATATATAGGGTGTCAGTAACTATATACGGGTGCGACGTTTGAGATTTCTTCAGGGATTGAGGGAGTGATGTGTGTATGTACGGAGAAACGAAAAAAAGAGAAAAACGAAGAAGAATAGCGCGTGATGAGACGACAACACGGGGCGACGATGTCGGGGAATGCGCGACGCGCAGTCGGGCGACCGCACAAAACTCTCCGCAACTAGGAACTAGAAATGACGACGACTAGAGGATTCCGTGTGTGTCTGTTTCTCTGCCATACACGGCACATAGCGCATTCAAGAGCGTGCGATAAACGTGAACTTAGACGAAAAGTTTCTTTATTATCCGAGAGAACGGGAGGTGGATAGAGAAAGAAAAAAACGTCGCGTTTGATGCGACGTTTGTATCGGCAATAATTAATAGACGCGTGTGGCGCAAAATGTCAAAAGAAACCTGTTGAGAGGTTTTATTTGCGAAACACGCGCAACAAGTACCGTCAATTTTACGTATCGATTGTACGTTACGATACGAAACGTGAAAACGCGATAAATATTGCGCGCGAGTATTCGTTTCCGTGTGCAAATTTGTTTCTTCCAAAAAGGTTCCATGTACGAGGAAATTTCTTTTTCAAAACTATTTTACGTAGAAAATACCTTTACAAGGTTTTTCTTCACCAAACCCACAGGGGGAAAGAATTTCTTTACAAAAACGTAACAATGAGAATGTTTGCTACGGGTCGTGGCCTGCATTCATCCGTAGGTCTGTTTTTTGAAATATTCGTCTCTAGAGCTACTTCAAAATAATTTATCTATTCTCAAGTGGCGTCTCTTTATGTTTACAATCAATAGTAACACGAAAAGTGTCCTTTTTTTTTTTTTTTTTTATCAAAGAACAAAAAAGTGAAATTACGAGAAGGACGCGGAAGACGCCGCGCCGTTCGATCTTTTGCGGTAAAGAATTTTCTACGTGAACGAATATATAAAATTTTCCATTATAGTTCGCACTCTCGATATATCCTCGCGCGCGAACTATCTATCTTTTCTCAAGGAACGAAAGAGGTTACCGTGTTGTAAGGGTAACGCGGAGAGAAATGCGGCATACTTAGAGAGAGGATCGCGATATCCAAGCGAGACGAATCGCGCACACCGCGGTGTCTAATGTAACGCGCGCGCGCGGGATCTCGCGGGCCGCACACATCAAACCCGTGTGATGCGCCGTTCAAGTGAAAACTGAATATATATAAACGCTTTCCATCTCGGAAGTACCACGAATCGTCGTCTTGCATTGAATCGTACATTGAATTAAATCGAGATGTAGGGGGGAAGACAGTTGTTAAAAATTGCCACCGCATATCTCGAGAAATATTCACTTTCTTGATCTCTTCGAATTTCTTCAAGCTTGAAATTTTTTTTTAAATCAATTAAAAAGCATCAATCATCGGAAATAAATTAAAAGCCACTTATACAAAGCACGTAAAGTAATCACGTAAAAAAAAAAATGAAACGTTTATAATAGAATTTTTCTTGTAAATTAAAATTACAATTTGACATAACTGTTGTTTATTTTACAAACGAGCTGTTGTTGCAATTAAATCTACTATCGCGATCAGCAAAAGAAAAATTATTGCTGCCGTAACATGTCACATAGTTCTTAGGATTAGCGCGGACTATCAATAATAAAGTATCGCGCAATGGATGAAAGTCGCTCGAAGAAGAGAATTTTACTTGCAACGTAATTCGTTATCTTATCACTAATATACATATATTATACTAAAACTTACATAAGCTACTTTAATTTCGCAATAGCTTCCGACATAACAAGTAATACACGCGTCTCTATCGGAGTTTTCGTATCTGTTTAAAAAACTAAAACGAGATAAGAACACGCGAGAAGATCTTCGTACACACATGTTGCTCTGTGAGCTTATCGATAATGCGATAACGTATTAGAGGGGTGACCTGCAATGCATCGTGCAACGCATTCAACACAACAACAAAAATAAAATACGCAAAATAGATTCGTACACACGATTCCGTTATGTATACGTATAACCAATTCGATGCATTTTCCCTGGATGAAAAACCAGGCGCCTGGATGAAGGCACACGATGATCTTCCGACGTGAGAATCGCACTGTCACATCGATCTCGATCGCGAAAAAAACCGAATTACGATAGATAGATTACGATCGGGATACACGCACTCACGCACACCAGAGACACACGCACAAAACGCGTGTGTGTGCACAGAACACGAAAACACTACACCACACTACGCATCTCAACGCCAACTGAGCGCGCACGCATGAAGTCCGATCCACGCTCGCTCGTACAACAGGGCCCAGAGACGCTTGTCCCCCCCCCCTCTTTTCATTGGCAAGCGAGCTGTGAGAACGTAGTAGAAGCGTAGTGGTCCCGCAGCCATTCGGCTGCAGGTGCATCGGGGGACCGAATCGGCGCGCTTTTTGAAACGGATACCTGCATTCTCATCAATTAACGGCGTATCCGGTTTTTTTTTTTCGAGCGTTTGTTCGTCGCATATTTTTCTCTTTCGACGATTGCTCGAACATTCCTTCAAACATTCCTGGTCAAACTTCAACAATGACCTACAAGTTAGTCAGACCGGATCCATAAGATCCACGCGACTGTAAGATCGAATATCTACGCAAAAAATCAATATATTTTTCCAATTTCTTTTCATTGAATCGAAAGTTCGAACACTTCTGCGTCAATAAAAAAAAAACAAAATTGAAAAAATTTCTAGTAGTTTTGAAGATACTTTTGAAGATATAAGCGTTAAAAGAAAACTAATTTTTCCCAGTAACCCCGATGCGCAATTTCTGAGTGGGTCTGGGAAACCCGTGTCTGACTACAAAGGGATATAAATATTTATTTGTTATTTATTATTTATGAGTATATACAACTGTTATATTGTTCAAAAGAATGTGATTTAATGGCCATGTTAGTGTGTGTATTTTCTAATAATAAATTCTTTTTCACACACTAACATCCGTGTTTAGGCTCTTATTGGCCATTAGATCACATCCTTTTGATCTTTCTATAGAGCCTTTTCTATTCCTTTATTGTTATATTGTTTTTGCCCAGCCATGTTTCTGTACGTACGACAGAGACATCCGTGTGTTTTTTTTTTTTTTTTTTTTTAAGTTCAATCATAAAAAAGAGAGGAAACTTTTACAATCTTTATATCATTTAATAAATAAGTGCGTTAATAAATATTATATAATGTACGCATAAATTGTGTCACGTTTTTTTTATTGCCATTAGTTGTGTCGTAAAAAAATTCAAGAGTACTTTTATGACATATCTCTTTACGACATCTACTCTCGGCAAATGGATTTGATATGAGAGCTGGATATACGATTGCGTGATATGTGGACCGTCGCAACAGGTCCCCGGGAGAATTCAAAGTCATTACAGACTACTGGCTCGCGGGGCCCCACTAATTGTCGATTAATTACGACCGATCATCTGCGCCAATTTGTTCCGTTTCCACGCGACTAACTGCATCATCGCGTCCCGCTCCCGCGACTGTATAGATAGATCAGATCGCGTTAACTAGTCGCGTTATTAGCAATTATGGTAATATCGTTTTGAGCTAATTGTTGTTGTGCGCCGCAGATATCAAACGATATCTCGTCGTAAATAACAACAGAACAATTTCAATGCAACGTAAAATGCGCAATTCATTGATTAACGTTTAACTAAACAAACAGAAAGATTACATGTTACTCACATTTGTAGAAAGCTGACTGGTCAACGAATGCACCTTTTCCTGAGCGTCCAATAGTTCACGACGCAATTTTCTCAATTCGTGTGCCTGCTTTTCTTCGGCCGAGCTGTAAAGGCTGCTCGTAGTAGATACGAGAGACACCGAAGAACCATGAACTGTGAAACAAAAAACGTAAAATTGTGTGTGTGATTTACTATTACACATATGCCACAATAGTAATACTTAATTCTAAAAATTCAAGTTTAACCTTTCACGGACAGACATTGTTTCTCAAACCCACTCAAAAATTGCGCATCGGCATTTCTAGTAAAAATTAGCTTTTTTTAAAACACATTTTCAAAAAAATACTATTACTTTTTTATTTTTTTATTTTTTTATCGACGCAAAAAGTTGTTCAGATTTTTGATTCAAAAAAACAAAATTGAAAAAATATTGATGTTTTGCAGAGATATTCGATTTTAAAATCGCGTGGATCTCACCAGACCCAGTAGATCATTTTTAAGATCCGTCCGTAAAGGAGAATCAATAGATTGTTTTAATATCAATAGATGTTTTTAATTCAGTTTGTCAAATTTTTTAAAAATAAATAAATATACATGTGTTTTCAAAAAGTTTGAGTTTTGATATTCGTAAGAAATGTTTTTTTATGACCAATGGAAGAGTCGTGGCAATAGACGGCAACTTTATTACGTCAACACAACGTGTATTACATCGAAATAAAATTCTTTATTTTGACAAAGAAGAGAGACACTCACTGTCATCGTCCTTGTGCACGTGCTGATACAGATTAGGTGGTTGTCGCGATGTGTGCGTGGGCGTCGGTGACGTTGGCTGGGACCAGTGCTGCCCAGTGCATCCCGCCGATCCCACAGGAACGCTGTAATACGGTTCGACTCCAACTCCCATTCCGATTCCGACTTCTTCACCGACCGAGGACGAAGTGCCGCTACCGCGCGCCAGCATCGACGGATACATCTTCTCGCTCTTGGTGGATCTGTGAAAACACAAGCGCAAAGTGTTCTCTCTCTCTCTCTCTCTCTCTCTCTTTCTCTCTGAAGACGTTTCTAAACGATAAGCTCGGATTCCGACAGAATCACTTTTCTCTCAACCTGTGAAATACGATGTCAACACACACTCGGCATCAAACTTGAACTATTAAAAACAACGTCGAAAATACTCATTATATATCGTGAAAGCGTGTGTCTTTTATCACTCGATATTATCGAGAATCGAAGAGTCAATACTTGGCGGACTTTTTATGTTTCCGATTCTTCCGCAGCATCGTGTCTTCGCTCTTCTGACAACATTCAAGTGTTTGATGAAAAGTATTGTAACTATAATTCAAAAGAGAATCTATTGCACAAATGATTTTGTTGTAAGTTTACGACTTTATAAATTAACTTTCACATGAAAAGAATCCATTGCATAAATACAAACTTGTAGTTACATTAATTTTTTACGCGCACGTACAATATTGTCAGCTTTCATTTTGGGGTTGTATACACTTTAAACAGCAACTATTGTAACTATTATTGAAGATCCAATGCTTTTGTTTTCCAATGCTACTTTGTGAGACAAGCATGTTCTCGTTTTTCACATTCAAACCTAAATTATACTTAGACTTCATATATTGTTTCCGCAGAGAAGTGTAACATTATTTCCATAATTAAAAAAAGAGAGAAAGAGAGAGAGAGAGAATAATTTTTATGTTGGTGACAAAGGTTTTGGTAACAATATTTTCAAGAAAAATGAAGAACTCGCGCCAGTCGCGAGTCGCTTGAACCAGTTACTCGAGTCGAAAGAACTTCGAGTGTTTCAGTTAGTGCCCCGGCAACGAAGACATGCTTGTCTACCTGTCAAGTGCGCGCGCAATTAACCGTTTCCAGAAGAGACTTCTAATTAAAAGATAAGCTTACTTCCACTCGGCAGGAAGTCGAGGACCACTTCGAGATGGTTCGCGGCGCAACTTGATTCTGTGGCAATCGAACGAGAGCTATCGATCGCGCGTTCTGTCAATCCGCGGCTCGAATTTATCATCATGTTTTATGTTCGCAAGATATTGTTCGTCAAATCCAACCGAGCAAATTCACATCCAAGAGAGTTTAAATGATATTTTCGTAGCGATGATGCAGCGCCAGAACGAGCGGATCCATGGTTCTCGATTACTCTGTTCGAAATATCGATGAAACACCGCGGCATATGCATGCAAGCTGCGCAAGCAAACACGATCGAACGACGAACTTTGGCACAATAGGCAATGTCGAATCTACTTGCATGAATAACGATCAACACAATATATATATATCGAAGACGCACACTCGGTGAACTATATATAATATTTGCATATTGTGTATGTGGAGTCCTGTAAACCTCTCAGAATCTTCCCAGGATTTTCCGGTTTGGAAAACTCGAGAAAAGACTTTGACAAAAAACTGTTTTCTTTTTCTTCTATCGAATTGCAAAGGATCTCACTGAAGCCAATTTTTTAATCGAGGTTTAAAGGAATGCTTGTGAATACGTGCGAGATCGAGTCTCGAGTGTGTTACGTATGTGTGTATACAATTGTTGTTGTTTGATACTTATGCGTGTGGAAAACAGGCTCGCCGAGTGTGTACTTTCGCAATACCTTGGAAATGTCCTGTCCCGCAGATGGCTAGAACGATCAATCAAATTGTCCTGCGTTATTTTGATTTAGTTGAAAGAATGAGAGGAAGAGAGGAGAGACAGCCGGAAAAAAGATAGAGAAGTACCGCTCGTCGATCGAAAGAACAAATGCCGAAGACATTTGCATCATCTATAAGCATGCAACTATACTAAAACGTTGTTGTTTGCAATCGAATCATGATTACCAAAATCAGTAGTCGGACTACTCGAATGTTATACATTTATGCACATACACACTATGAAAAAAACTATATTATATTTTAAAATACTATTATTATACAATATAACACATATGACATATCGTGCACAATGAGATCCAAAGAGTTTCTTTTGTGTAAGTATAGTTCAGAAAAATTAAAGTAAAGTGCACAAATGAATTCCTCACCTGATGGAGTTGCTTCTGTTCAGTCTGGGTGGCGCTGGTGATCCCGTTGACTCCCTCTGATGCATAAGGAGACGAGCGTGTGTCAAACTGGCGCGATGCGATCCTAATGATTCCACACTGTCGGCCTCGCACAACCCCATCCCTAAAACAATTATTATGGGTTTCGAAATAAACGCAAATAACAAGTTCGAAACAAAGATAAAATAAAATAAAAAGTTTGTATCAGACCTTGAGAGCGTCCACTGGGTGTGTAAGTGTTGCTGTGTCTCATCCATGACGTGGTGTAGGGACTGTTGGGTGTGCCGTAGTAGCCCTGAAGATCAGGCGCAGCATAATTGCTACACGTGTCGCTGAGACTGCCGTCAGATGGTTTCAACACTCGTGGGGAAAATGACGCGCTTGTCGGTCCAACGCCAGCTCCTCTCTCGCGATGATGGGCGGAGAAAAGAGCAGTAAATTCCGGACTCCCGGGTTTCGGCAGACTCTGAGAGCCCAACATCAAACGGTCCCGGACCGACTGCGACAGCTGACTTGCGCTGGGACCGGTGAGACTGTAGCTCTTGTAGTGATGACCTTGACCGGACCCCGAAGAGTTTGCCTGCAGCTCCGTAGTACACGTCTGTGTACCACCAGACACTTTGACCTGTACCCAAGATAAAAATTCCAAAATTTTAAATATATGTATATATAATTTTCCTTTGAGATCTCGGTTGGATTCCTGACCAAGATGTCTTTTTTAATCTTTATAGGGAAGGGTAAATTAGATATTTTTTATCTAAATGTGACGCGCAAACCAAGCATTCTATAGATGAATTTTCAAATTGAATTTACTTCAAATTACGTGTATTAATTCACACGTTTAAAAAATATATTTGCACGCATGCACATCCGGTATATTGAACTCGTATCGAACCCTGATGCTTAATTGTACATTATTATTTTTTCTTTTATACAAAAAAATTTCCAAGTACTAAAAAAATCGATGTATGATCTATTAAATCTTTATGTAGAAATTTTGCGCTACCTTAGTTCTTGGCACAGCGCTAACTTGAGCCGTCCTGGTCGCGTCCTTGCTGCCATTTTGAATGCCGTTAGGACTTGGAGTAGTGCCCGCACTATGTCTTTTAACGTAGCCGAAACTTTGTGGCACCCCGCGGACCTTGCTGCTACTACTGGTCGAGGTGCTCGACGAAACTTTCTGTGGTTTCTCGCCATTCGCATATTCGGCCATGGCCTGTTTCCGATGTTTATCCTACGTACGTACCGAATTTTGTTGTTCAATCAGCACTAACATTACATCCGGTGATTTATTAAAAAATATCGTGATATTACAATAGTTATATAAGTACAAGTGAATATTTTATTATATTCTGATCATAAGATGAAAGTTGTGATACGAGTTTTAATTTTAATTTAGAGAACTAAACTACATGCACACACAAAGAGAATCTCACCTGCGACCTTCTGGAGGGACTAGGGCTGGGGGGCGCGCCCTCCTTGTCTCTCTCCCTCGCGGCGCCCGCTTCTATGTACTTCTTCCATTGTTGGCTGTTGGAGCTGGAACCGTTCGAGCCTTGTTGTTGCTGCTGCTGTTGCTGCTGCTGCTGCTGCTGCTGCTGCTGCTGATGCTTGAAGGCCGAACTCTCGGTCTGTTGAGAACTGTCAGATTTCTTCACGTGCGGATGGTGGCTACCGGGGTGTCCACGCGAGCCCACTACGCGGTACACCAAATTGTGACTGTTACCGTGCTGCGCCCCTTGGGGGGTGGCCGATCCCCCGCCACCCCCCACAATCACGCCCCCTCCGCCCGGCACCCTCTATTTTTTCCGAAAAAATAGTTAACACATGTTAGTGCGAACATATCAATTAAAATAATGTTTATTTTGTTTTATTTAATAAAAAATATCTAAGAAACAAATTACACAATGAAAGTACGCGTCTGCAACGCACAAGACGTGAGATGTAATATTACGATTATTACGAAGCAATTTTTTTCCACAACCGCCTGAATATACGTATTTCTATCTTTATTTCTCGGAGACGTTTTATCTTTTAAAATAGTTTCTGAAAACGTATATTGTATTCGATCACAATAGCGTCGTCTTCAACAGACGGGGACGATATTGATTTCGTACTTGGAAAGAAGTCAGAACCATTGATGATTCAGAATGTCGGGCGCCGCTGCGACGCGACGTTACGACAATTTTCGTCGCCTTTCTTAACCGCCGGTTCGCACACATTTGTATGTCTTTAATTAATTTATTTTACGCAAACTCTATCAAGCGCGCGGCATTACATCTACTAAACGTAAAAAATCAAATGCATTTTTTTAAATATATACACAATCTCACATAATACCGTGCAAATTATTGACACGTTAACTGCCACTGCTAGTCATCCGTGACCGACGCTACTACATATTTCAGAATGATTAAAATAAGACGAATATCGTCAATTAATACTTTTGAGCAACGTAAATAACTAAGAGAACATTGTGAACTAAAAAGGTACGCTATTCTATTAAAAAAGTTTTATTTATATTTTTTATAAAAATTATCATTATATACTTAGAAATATGAACATTCTATTATGGTCCCCAAAGCAAAAACCACATAAAGCTTGCGTGACAGTCAACGTGGTTGACTCTTCGGAGACAGACTGGGTCTCCCAGACCCATCCAAAGTTTCAAACCAGTGTCTCCAGTATTAGTTTTTTGGACGCTATATCTTCAAAACTGCTAGAGATGTTTTCAATTTGTTTTTTTTTTTTTTTATCGACGCAGAATCGTTCAAACTTTTGATTCAAAGAAAATAAAAAACATTGAAAAAAAATATTGAATTTTCGCGAAGATACTTGATTGCAAAGTCGTGTGAGTTTTACAAAAACCAAGTCTAGTAGATAACCAACTAGTAGACATTTTTGAAGTCGGTCCACGAAGATTTGAGAATCATTGGAATGTGTGAAACTAAATAATCTCTCTAAGATATGATCAATGGGAATTTCTCTAAAAATTCTGCAGACGTGTATTTTTTCCAATAGAAAATGAAAAAGAGGAGGAGGTAGAGAGAAAGAAAGAGAGAGATGTACACACACATACACACACGAATTTGTCGAACCGAAAGAAACCTTTGAAGATCGAAACGTTCATCAAGACGAAACGAGGGTGTATGCCTCACCTCCATCTTTCTCCGTGTGGAATTGCGAATGACTCACGGGGATGGAAGGAGACGAACGAACGTTCCTTAGGCTTTTACGGGCGAGGATCGTAAACGTACGCACGGTAGAAAGGCTATAAACGCGGGACAAAGGATCTGCAAGAGTTTTTTTTTCTCTTTTGACCTGTGCAAAAAAAAAAAAAAAAAAAGAATACACCGTTTCGCGTTTTTCTCCTATTTCAGATTGCTTTTCTTTATTCAAACAAAAGACCGTATTTTCTCTGCGAGAAACGGGGAGTACGGAAGGCAAGAGCGGCACCGGAGTGCGGTAACACACACACACACCGGCGATATATACCGCGATTTTTTTTATTTCAATTAAAACACACCGGAACCTTTACGCGTTCAGTACGTATTAATTACATTAGAGAACATTTTTGTAAGAAAAAAAAAATATATATATATATATATATCTCGCCCGGGAGTTCTGAATCTAGAACTCTCTTCGCTTTCCGTGCGAGATGTTTTACTCCGATTCAACTGCTAAGATACTTGGTTGATACTGTAGGAATTTATGTGTAAGGATTGTTATTTTCAATAAATAAATATTAGTCAATTATTAGTTAATAAAGAGAGATAAGTATAATTACAAAATAAATGCACAAACAATTCTCCGCGCACCTATCTCTCGTTTCGATCCGTTCGCGTCGACATTCGCCGGAGATCTCTCTTCGACTTCTTCGAGCGTTATCTCTACCTTTTCAGAGATGTTTTGCTGTATACAATATTTGAATTTAACTGATCGGTACCTAATCAATACGGCATGGGGGAAGTCAAGAAAACATTCATCGCGTTAGGACGGTCATATAAACGATATACGAGGTGAAGCTGTAGGAACCTTCAACTGTCGTGTGAATACGTGAAAACAAGATAATATAATCCGCAGAACATTTTTCTCATAATAGTTAATTTTTCTCTACAATACTTCTCTCAATATCCAAACAACTGAAGGTAACAAAATTAGAAGACGCTGTTCCGGAAAGTCAACGCAAAGCGTTATTTTTAATATTTCGCTGGATATGTGCTAGAATCGAAGTTCCATCCCCGAAGACAGGCAAAACGCATTAAACTGACTCGACCATGACTCGACCATGACTCGACGATGCATCACAAGCTTCCGCTCCAAAAAGGCAAGAAGAGAAGAAGCCAGAACTTTCATAAAAACCTATTTACACACATTTTGAAACAAACACTTGAGCCTATCTTTCTTTTTCCTTGATATAACAAACGAATTTTATTCGGATAAAAATTGATTCGAATATGTAATATCCAAAACTCTCTCTGGCTCGCGCGTCGGCAGGAAACAGCAAACATTCGCGTAGCTTTGAAGTAGGCGAACAGGACGCAAAAGTCCAAATAAACTAGGCATGTGCACCTCTTCCAAGTAGATGGTTTTCCGAGACTCTTTCCCGGCACCGCGATCTGGGGGGGAGGGGGGGTTTATTTTCTGAAATCCTCGCCGTGTGAAAACATCCTATTTTTTATGATCATAGAACGCGTCACGCGTTCGAAAACACGCCGCGACGCCCGCCCGTATACGAGTAGTGGTCGGAATGATATCGATTAGTCGTCAGACTTGAGAACGATTCTCAAACACAAAGAACGATTTTTATTTCAACTTACTTATATCTATTCACTTTTAAAGTAAATATATATACACGCGCACAACAATATAAATATAGATAATATAATTATATAATCCTTCAATACACATGCATTTCTAATTTTTTAACTTATTATCAAAGCGGATATTCTTTAGAAAATGCGGAATCGATATTTTATAATATTTTATAAGTATAAAATTAATCTGGCAAACGATTACTAAAGAAAAAAATGAAAGAAATCTTGAACTTTTATTTTTAAAGTTTATAAATAAACAACATTGTTTTTTTTTTTCATATATCCTGTTAAGTAATTCTCAGCGAGCGCGTAATAAAATTACTCTTACCATGGATTTTTCTTCCGCATAATAAAAACCGCGAAGTTTATTTATTTCTCGCGTATGTAAATATATCCTTTAAGACAATATGTTACTTTAACGGTGTTCAATATTTTATTACATTTTTTACTCTCTTTTTTGACAAATTTTATAAATCAATCAATTAATTAAGTTTTACAAGACGTAAAGTAATATTCGGAAAAAAATCACAGATTGTTTTCTAAAGTTTCTCCGTTATTTGAACCAATCAGTTTTTCAATGTTTGCGCGCAAGTGAAAATTAATCAGTGGCATTCAACACACGGTGAGATTAGCATGTTGCGGTTAATCGATCGACGATCGCTATTCTGAGGTTCTGGTTCTAAACCACAGTCACGAAACACACCTGAATCACCAAAAGACACAGCTAATTGCGCGTATACAGAAATCGGCGGAAATCGATTACGTGATTTCCTCTTTGAGAAAATTGTCAAAGAAAAATCTTCTCTCTCTCTTTCTCTCCGAGAAATTTCTTTCTCTCAGCAATTTTTAAGCTTTTTTTTTTGAGTCTAGACACGCATGACAATTTCGCGGTAATCTTTGTATTAAAATTTGGAAAAATAGCGACAAATTTTTTTTATGAGAAATGTTTTTATACAAGAACTTTTTATATGGTTTAATTTAAACGGATATTATGTAACCATCGTAAACAAGATTCTAAAAAAAGTATTTTATCGATTTATCAATTAAAACTTTATCAAACTCCACTAGACACTTTAAGGAACATTTATTTTCTTTATCACGTCTACCGCTATTGTAATTGTTCATCGAGTTGCACATTCTATTAATCAACCGAGATTACTCAATTCCTCTTCCTTTCTCTTGCAAGTTGCTCTTCTCGTTTTTACACAATTTACACTCTATTACTTTACAATTTAATTGATTTAAAAAAATTTAATAAAATTAAATTATTGAATTGTTTGAAGAGAAGTACGTAGCGATTTTTTTTATAAAATAAAATTATATTAATAAAAATCTATCGCATCATACTCACATAATTTAGTTTTTGTAAATGCTCATACACGATGCTGTTTTTCATATGTTTTCGATAGCTTTGTAACGTCTCGCGGCTCGATGATGGTTATTGGAAAACGCTATGAACTTTTCAAACAACCCAGTGAAACTTGTTTGCATTTTGTTGCATTTTACTCTAATCCTGTTTCCGCGACACGAAACTTGTTACGATTACGCGCAATAGTAACAAACGAAGCGTCCGAACGTTAACCGTCGACTGCGACGGTAGCGGGTTAGACCCGTTCATTGCGTGCAAGATTCTTTCTCGCCCCCACTTCTCTAACACACTTGTAATATTATTAAAAGAAAGCTATTAGCCCTTCCAAACACAGCACTCGCTTACACGCTTTTACTTTGTTCGTTTGAGGTACCTCGAAATAAAGGTCAAAGTTAAATAATGCATTTCATATAAATAATATAATTCTGACAAAGCCCCCCCCCCCGTGAACATTTAACATTTAATTAATAACCGGTATCGAGCTCGGCGGCCATTAAAATACCAATTTAGTTGCGATAAGTGGCTTATCAAATGGAATCAAGGAGGAGTGTGGAGCAGAGCCAAGAGAAACAGATATTATTTCGTTATATTGATAAATCGTTAAACGTTTATACACACCGATACTATTTTGACTTCAAAGCTATTAAAATGACTAATTTGATGCCGCGTATTACTAATGGTTAATTAACAAGATATTTTGTAATTGGGTGAAAGAATATTTAATCCATCTTTATATTAAAACTTAATTGAGGGAAAAAATCAATTAAAATATTATTATTTCTTATTATTATTATTATTTATTATATTATTATATATTTTCCAGAATTTTTTTAAAAAAAGAATATTTTCAAAGTGATTGAAGTTGTTCGCAAACATATTTATTGTAAATATTTCTGATTTATACGTTTGAAAACGATAGTTTCGTGCTGTAACATTTTATGCTGTCATTAAGGATAATTAGGAAAAAATTAAATAATGTTAATCAGAGCTCCAAGTTCTTAAAAACCAAAGTTCGAATTTAAGTGCTTGATAGTTTTGTGACGTTAAAGCTGTTACGATTTACCTTCTTTCCGCGATAGAAAATGAGATGAAAGGAGAGGAATGAAAGCAGAAGGAAAGGAGCATTTATTATTTTCACTCGGCACACACAGGGGATATCGATTCTGTTCGACGACGACCTGCCGTGACCCGGCTGCATAACTGCTTGCGACGTGTATAACTAATCTCTCTTGCTTTCATGTTCTCTCCTTCCCTCTCTCTCTCTCTCTTTTTCTCTTAAAAAAGTTTTTTTTCTTGAATTTTTCAATTTAGATCTAAAGGTGCGATAAAGGGTCTTTTAAGACGTAATTTTAAATTTTCTGAAAAGAGATTAGCATAATTACAATTATCACAAGAATCTTTTATACGCGTATACAAAATATCCATAACTATGCTATATTTTATCACTTCCGTAATCTGTATTCCGTATCTGTATTTTTTTTTGTATAATTTCGTATATATATTTGTATGTTTCTTTTCTCGTTGTCACAATTTACTCTGGCGTGATTAACACTGTTATCACATTGTTCATCTCGGTAAAACAGAGTTATCTCGATTGTTCGATTAAATATAAATAAAACGAGAATAAACAAATTTGCGAATATTAATAACAATAAAAACGAATAGAGAAATGCAAAAAGAACGAGTGACTCGCGAAAAAAAAAAAAAAAACTGCATTTCGACAATGGGACACTCGGTACACGACAGCTGCACGACGCAACAGCTGACGGACACACATGCCCCGTGCTTTGTGACTCAATTGTGTCTACATGGGTTTGTGAGATCATATTTTTTGTGCATACATTATCGTCTTTTAACCACCCACACAAATATTGGATATTGCTTAACGATATTTTATCAGTCACCAACATAATGTTGTGAATAGTTGACAGACTCATTGTTCGAGTAATTAAAAAAAAAAAACAAAATCCTACACGAACATCCTGTATGTAGTCCCGTATTGGTCCTTTCCAACATACATCGACAATGTCACGAGCAATATCACTTCTTAATAAAATCCTAGTTTTAATGTTTTTTTTTTTTTTTTTCTAATGTTTCATAAAAGAACTACATTTCAAATCTCAAACAAAAAAAGTTTCGATTCTCAACTGAGAATTCTTTCTGTTTTCAAATGTGATTTTGGATTTGTGGAAAAGAATTTCTTGTTTAATCGAAACGCCGAATCTCCAACTAATTTGCCAAATGTGTTGGACGGTATCAAAACGTTCCCGTGAGGATACTGTTATATGATTAACTGATTTGTGTCCTCAACCACGAGCATACTCAATGACCGCGGGTAGGTGTACCTGGCAATTGTCGTACCAATAGTCTCTATAAGCATCAGGAATATACGCGGCAATTGCAACTTTAGTCTCATTGGATATTTAATGTGTCACAGTACGAATCAATGCGACTGCCGGGATCATCCCCTTTGTAATCGCAAACAGCGAATGTTTCCAATCGTACAATTAGGTACAAAAGAGAAATTAAAAAAAAAAAAAAAAACAATAAATTGAAAATAAAATTCTTGAAATAGCACAAATATTATCAAATTTTTTCTGCGATTATTTCAAAAACATTAAATAATTGACTAAACCAAAAGAAAATAAAAAAAAAAAATTGAAGAATATAAAACGAAAGAAGACAATAAAAAAACAAAACAAAAACCTCAATATTAATAAGAACGGTGTAAAAATACGCGCGGGAATGAGTCCTGCACTTTTTCTCAAAGATTCCGAGCTTCCGTTCGTGTGTTGAGACACACAGGGAGGCATTAATAAGTGAACGATACCGCGACGATTAGTCGGAACGAGACTCGGGTAATCAGGGGAAATAAGAATTAATAAACGCTATTTCCGGCCGCGCGTCGGCTCTCTCTCTCTCTCTCTCTCTCTCTCTCTCTCTCTCTCGAACCGAAGGGGGCTTGCTATCGATTCCGAGTTGGCGAGTTCGCTGACCTTGTGATGAGAGGGATGTCCCGTGTGATTGGCGGAGGTATGATTTCCGGCAGGAATGGAGGCCAGCTCCTCGATCGTGAGCTCCGCCAAGGCGTCGTTCCCGCCGCTGCAGCCGCCTAGAAGACCGCCGGCGACGACGTTGGCGACGCTGCCACCGCCGCCGCCGCTTCCCGGACTGGCGCCCCCGATGCAACCGCCATCCGACCTCGCGACCCCCGACGGCCGACTCTTCTGCACCCGCCTCGAGGTCACCAGTTCCTTCACCCCCGACAGCTCTCGCCGCGAACCGCCGACGTACCTGCGAACCAACGCAAATTAAGCGTGCCATTGTACATTATCATTAATAGCTTCTCATTATGCAATATCATGTAACGTTATTATACTTTGTGATACGTATCACGTAATGTTATATATTATAATTTAGAAAAAAAAAAGAGGGAGAGAATATCAAATATCAAATGTTAAAACTTGGAGATAAATAACATCTGCGCGAGAGAAAAATATGCGACACTAAAATAAAGTTTCAGTGAAAAATTTAGTTTTCAGTAAAAAGGTTAGTGCACAGATTCTACTCACGTTCCTTTGATTTTACGAACTTGCTTATCGCTGTGTCACGCTATTTATTTTTAGAAACCAAGAATCCAATAATGCGATTTCAGCTTATTGTCCTCTCGGCAACGAAAGAGAGTCAATAAACGTAATGAAGGCGCGATGACGTAAAAGAACACACAACATTGCTCGCGACGGTCAATGACAATAGTTATTAATTTTGTACTCGAAAGGTAATAAGTGTGTTCTGTGCAATATTTACGAAAATATTATATCGCCTGTAGATATTTTCTCATAACGTTGCAACTCGCTGAAATTAGTTTTCATCGTGCACATGCATTAGCATGTTATCGGAAAAAAATCTTGCAGAAAATTGACGTACAAAAATATATTTATAATATATATGATCCAATAATTTAAAGTAACTTAAAATGATTCTATAACATAAAAATGTTAGAGATTATGTTAGTTCTTGTTAAACATTTATAATAGTAATTAATTATAATGTAATTACTTATAATTATTATTAATTAATATAATTAATATATGTGTATTATACATGTACAGAAAATAATTTCTAAATAACTAATTGTAAATAAATTCCTTGCACATTATTTATTTATACTAAGTAATTTACATCAAGTAATTAATCAGGTTAGTAATTTAGACTTTAGACAAATGACTAATTCTAAGTACACATTTTTTGCGCATTCTTCAGTATATCAACTTTGTATCGAGTAATTATTTAATCAGGTTTAGTAATTTAGAGACTTTTGGACCAAAAAACGACAACAAATAAATCTCTTTTGATATCAGTTCTAGATAACTCTCGACCGATACGTCGTTGACCAAGGGTTGAATATTAAAAATTAAAAAATCACATCGTGAATCAGATTGTAAAAAAGAACGTATGTAAAAGGTGGAAGTGTATGAATATACTGCGAAAAAAATACATATAATAAACACGTTCTCGATGAAACCCTTGTGTACGATTTTATAGCGAGCTTTTATAAATTTATCTCGCACGCGCGCCGTTTTAGATGGCAGTCGTTATTTTAACTGCCCTTACGGCGGCTGCGGCCGGCCGAGGGTTAATGCGCGTCGTAAAAAAAAAAAAAAAAAAAAAACGTGCTTAACCCGAGCAACGAGTTGGGGCTGAACTGATTCACGAGCTCAAAACATCTTAAGAAGAAAAACAGCTAAATAAAATTTCCGTCGGTGGTGCGCGTGAAAAGGATATCTAATATAACAATAATTACCGAAACTTGCTTAATTAACGTTTTTTCGCTGAAAAAATTCTTTAAAGTTTTTTGTTTCAAAATATTCCCTACACACAACCAAGTTCTGTTTACTAAACGCAATTCTAATTGCTTGAATTTGATAATAAAGAGTTAAAGCCTCTGAATACTTAAATTTTATTTAAGTCTAAAGGTAAATAAGTGTACCGCGAACTTTTTCCACATACATTCTCTCCAAATAACTTTTAACATTAGTAAAGCAATTTTAATTAAATTCTTGTATGTTACACATTTCTTAATTCTAAACGTGAGATGCGATAATTAATAATTACAAGTTTGTGCTCCGAATTAGCTGAATAATTAATTAATTTGAGATAATTTTTCTTACTATCGTTTTAGTTACAACGCGCTTTATATAGATGACATCTTAAATTAGAAGTAATTTTTTACGTCACGCTTGATTCTCTCTCTTTCTCTTTTTTTTTCTCTCTCTCTCTTTCTTGGCTACCGACAAAAAATGTTTTCTTCTTATTTTGCGGCATAACTCCCGTATTGCATTTCGCCTTCCGTGATCGACGAACTCGTTGATCACATTGTGCGCCCCCCGAATTAAATATTTGCAGAAAACTCGACGTCGGAATTGAAGCGATAACTTTCGAGCACGCGCGCGTGCGACGTAACTTTGTTCTCGCGCAAGAAACTCGAACTTGCGAGAGGAAACTTCGAATGTCACTTCTTGGAGTCGTTGCTCACGGAACTTCGTGATTACAAGGACAATTACTTTGGCAATAATTAAAAAGTTGCCGAGAGCAAAGAACGCGGAATAAAGTTTCGAGAAAAGATAATTTCACTGTCGCTCGCGAAAGAAGAAAAAAGTTTGTTTTTCTCTCGACATCTCTTCTCGTCTAAAAGTGTATCGTGTATACGACATCGATGAGTTTATAAATCAAAATTATACGTTAATGAAGATGAAAAATAATTGTGTCGAGAGAAATTGATCGAATCTTTTTGGTCTAATAATTAATTGTTTTTTTTTTTTATATCATTTTCTGTAATTCTAGACAATCTGATGTACGTGTAAAACAAAAAGGGAGAGACGGAGCACACGTCCTCTTCCCAGGCTTTTCCCTTCAACGCTTCTCCACCATTTACAGCTCTATCGCGTTCATCCCACATTCATCAGCCAACATCTTGACCGGGCAAACAAAAAGCAAACGGGCAAACAAAGACAACGAGATTACCGTTCGGTTTGAGCCGCCGCGCTTCTTTCAGCGGATTCCGGGTATACCTCCGGGTCTTCCACCCTCACTCAGGACACTGTCACACCGGGCGAAGGTATTTTCGAGCGCGAAGGCTTCACCGAAACATAAAACCGACCGGAGAAAAAACTATCGCGCGAACCCGGATAAAACTCGGCGTCTCTTCGACGACGTCGGCAACGACGACGAGGGCGAGGACATCGAGGATGAAGACGACACTCCCCACCCTCGATGGCTCGGCACGTACTCCTTCTTCCGCCTCGTCGTCGGAAAAGCAACCCCGCTGCGACGCCCCCTCGAACCACCCCTGGAAATAACGCGCCGACACCGGCAGATCGCGCCACCGCGCAGCACGACGTCGAATCGATCGCCGGTGACGTCACGACGTCCACACGCAAGCGTCGCGGCGCGCGAATATCATCTCTTTACCCGAGGGGTTCATCTAGATAAATAGATCTCTCGCATTGTGTGTTCCGCATAGTCTTTTAATTGCACATTTTTACGGCGATCCAATATAAAAGAGAAGAGAACATCGAGGTGGAGAGGAGCTGTGCGAGAAGTTTATGTAGAAAATATGTCCTGAATTACAATAAAGACACAGACTTTATTACAAGTCGAGAAGAGATCGCCGCGTATTTTTTAAAATGAAAATTTTTATTAAAAATATTCTAGATGTTTTGAAAGCGGAATTCCACTCCGACGTTTGTTCATTTTAAAAATTTATTCGAAGTTTTTCTTCCTCGCGGACTGGATGTTTTGGCCTTGATACGCGCTTTTCTCTAAATTTTCGAACGATAACTAGCTCCTATCCTACTTTCACAATGCGCCATCGGATAGCGTCGATCTGTGGCGCACGTGGCGTGTGTTGCGAGACGCGCGAGAAAGATGCATCGCGGGCAGCGTGCATCCTCATCTTGATGGAATGTGCGAGGGCGAAGAAGAGGAACGCGCGCGCGAATCCTACGGCGAGAGAAGAGCCGCAGGACAATGCTGAGAGGCTGCTGTCAGAGACGGACAAAGGCGCTTATCTTTCTGCATATACACACGCACGCACACACACACACACACACACACACACACACAGACACACATCATCATAAACGCGGCCTCGTCCGCGCCGCATTGCTTTCGAGACGAGCTGCCTCTTCTCTCGCGCGATAAATTCATTTCTCGCTCTGGCGCGCGCGGGCGAGAATACGTACATACGTATCGTCCCCTTTAAAATCGAAGTGTGTGTTGTTTCCCCGAAGGACGCAGAAATCGCTACGAATAGGTAACTGTGATAGCGGGACAAATGTAACGCCGTACCGTTTACGGGGAGGAAATAGCGAGACAGAGAAACCCTTGAAATGACTTTAATGAAAATAAACACGCAAAACAAAGTTTTGCTGTTATACGGCCACCACAAAAAATATGTCGAGTCTGCTGAATTTTTTTGTTTCATCAACAAAATGTTTCGTTGGCACAATATGATAACTAATTTAGTAACCAATAACAGGCCATATAGTAACTAAGTTTTCGCCATTCTAGCAATTTTTTTTTTCATGTGACTATTAACCCTTCGAGTTCAGACATGGGTCTCCCAGACCCACTAAAAAATTGCGCATCTAGCGATTCTAGAAAAAACTAGATTTTTTTGAACGCTTATATCTTCGAAACTACTAGAGATTTTTTCAATTTTGATTTTTTTATCAACACAGAATCGTTCAAACTTTCGATTCAAAAAAACAAAATGAAAAAAATATTTAGTTTTCGCAGACATATTTGATCTTAAAGTTGCGTGGGTCTCACAGACACCCGGTCTGGTCAACTTGTCACATTTTCGAGATCTGGCCACGAAGGATTAAAGAAAAATAAATCAACAATAAACGATTGCTCGAACAATCGTTTGTCAAACTAAATAACATACGTTATGTTTGAATGCGCGCATTAAATATTTATTTGCGAATGCACTTAAGCGGATCTTTTTAGCGGCGAGAGAGGAGAGAAAGGACGAAACCGCGGTAATCGTTAGAATATGTCGAGGGAGGGTCGGTCTTTGTTGCAGATTCCACGAGGTTTTACTCGACGCGATAGCGATGAGGGGTCTCTCTGGAAGGGTCTCTCTCTCTCTCGACCGAGTATATTGAATTTCCGAAAAGCGCGTCGGGTTTCAAACGGGATGATACGCGCGTGGCCTCGATTATGCTAAAACGAGTTAGAAACGAAGGGGCCCCGCGCCGTGGCCTCCGGCACATTTCCGGAAACGCGTTATGGCAAACAACACCCGCCACGTAGCGCGCATGTCGGTGCGATATACGGAAAAAGAACAATATTAATCCACGTATCCTCCAGGATACGTGAGTATCTGGGGTGCGCGTGTGTCAAACGCAAGAGTATCACGCGAATAATAATACCATGAAAATAGAAAATACGTCGAAAAAAATAAAATTGCATCGACAAAGGAAATCCGTTTCGCTTTATAATTTTATAAAGCGAAAAAAGGCTTTAAATAAATAATGCAAAATTGTATGATACAATACAGTAGCGTGTGCGCGTACGTATGGATGCAAAAAAAAAAAAAAAAAAATGGAGAATAATTCCACGGAAGCGAAGTGAATCGCTCTCTCGCGGATTAATCGGACGACCGACCGCGCGCGCTTTAATTCGATCGCGGTAAAAGCGGCATTGCCGCGCCGCGGCGTTGAGTAATTGGACGCGCCTCCGGAATTAGCCCGCCGTCCGAATTTTGTCTAACGAGAGTTGCCGTGTTGTAGTTAGAGATTACGTGACAGTCGCGTCTTGTTCGCAAACCGCGCGTCGTGTCGTGACTCACAGTGACAGTGAGTCGCTCGACACGCGTGTGTGCGACGCGAATTTTATAGATCGTCGCGAAAATCATCTTCCCTCTTGAGATGGGGTGTGGATGATGGAAGTTTCGATATTTAGATGCGTCATGAAGACGAGTTGAGAGAAACTTGAGAATATCTCAAAAAAAAAGCGAGGAGAGAAAAAAAACACGACGAAATTTGCCGCCGCACAAATTCCACGCTCGTATCGAGTTCGATCGGAATACCGATCGTTGCGCAGAAAGCGGGGGAAGACGCTCTCGTACGAAACGAGAGACAAAAAAAAAAAAAAAAAATCCGTCCGATCGATAAGAAGAATATTGTTGCACGTCGAACAAAAACCACAAAGTGCCTCGCAAAAATTTGCGTTTGCGTTTCTTCCCACTTAGACTCGGCTCTTCATCGCTTGAAATCTTAATTTGAATACATACGCGGATGCCAGAGCATCGCTAATAATAAAGCTCTCTCAGTCGGTCGTGGATATTTCGTTGCTAGCGCACGGCAAAACGAGTAATGAACGAGTCACGACGCAAATCCACACTTTGTGTGTCGTGATACCGTCTAAACGTTTGTCGAAAATAGCGTCTCTCTCTTTCTCTCTCTCTCTCTCTCTCTCTGTATCAAATGCCACCCCCTCAACAAAGGAAGAAAATCAATTCTCTGTCTCTGTCTCTCTCTCTCTCTCTTTCAGTCATTTGAGGGAGACTTAAATGAAATATTAAAGACGCTAAGAAATTAATCGCCGCGGAAATTGCAAAAGCCGTCGCCAAATTTTCCATCAATGACTCTTCAGTCTTTGATATTATTAAAATTAAATCGTTAAAGAGAATTTTGTTCAAGCAAAATGTGACGCAAAATTGTGAATCGCAAAAGTTCGCCGTTCTTAGCAACAAGTTTTGAACGAACACGATTATCCGAGGAAAGGGAAAGGACGCGAGGAAGGGAACGGGCTTTTCACCGAAAACCTCGCGACAGGCTTAGGCCTGAGCTTTCTTGATCAATACTCGGTGCGCGCTTAGCGTCGCCCACGCGACGCTAATTTATCGCCACTCTCTCGCGTGCGCAAACGTTGCACACCTCTCTCTCCCCTTTTCTCTTTCTCTTTCTCTCTCTTCGCATCTTTCTCGCTCATATTTCATTCGATAAAAAATGATCCATCCGGCTGGCAATTCAGCCGGAAACTTTTTTGCGACGTTTTGCGCGTGCCATAAATCGCTCGTCAACGTCAACATCACGAGATCTTCAATTCCGCAAAGTTTTTTCTAATTCCTTTTATACGGAGATTTAGTGTGTTGTTGATTCTCTTAAATTTCGACCAAGTTTGTAAACGTCACGACGTTTGCAAAATTTAAAAGCCGACGGATCCCCACACATAGGGAAAAGTTAAGAAGTTACCTGTCGTGCTCGTGGCCGTAGGAAGGGTTGATTCTGCGCGCGTAAAGAGAGGCGCCACTCTCGGACATATAACCGTCGCACAAATCCGACAGGGTTCTACTGCCGACGTTCATGCCGCCGCCTCCTCCTCCACGCAGCACTTCGCCATCGCTCAAGTAACCGGAAGCGATGTCCACGTCAGCGTAATCGTGGTGACTACCAACATGATGATGCGACGACGAGTGCAAGACCGTGTACTGTCTAGCTGCAGTGCGACTCGGCAGAGTCTGCAGACCTCGAGCTCCGGGTGTGTAACCGCGCAGAAGGGGTTGCATCGGTTTCACTGTCATCTCCGCCTCGTCGTCCGCTAGAGAACCGCCGCAAGTCGAACTTTCTGACAGCACCTTTGTGAAAAAAAACAAAGAAATGTTTTTGTTAAAAGTGGCTTCTAATGTTTTACTTTTGTGTGTGTTGCTTAGTATTTTAATTTATAATCTAATTATTTAATTATTAAAGTTTTATGTGTGCACATATGTCTGCTTATATAAACATACAATAACGCTACATTACGATAACATTATATTTATCTTCTCACAACTATAAACATTTCAACAACACAAACCTTCTCCATTTGCTCGAACGTGGTATCGATCTTTCGATTAGGAATCGTCTTGATCTCGCTGCCGCTCTCGCTGCTCGGCCTGTAAATCACGCTGCTGTCGCTAGAGTTACTCTGACCGGTGCTGTTGGAGTTGCTGTGCGAGCTCTCGGACATGAGATCCGAAATACTTGGCATCGGCGACACCATCGCCACCGTATTTGGGTCGAGTTTGCGATGAAGAGTGTCACTACCCTTCAATTTCGTCGGCGTCGGCATGCCACAGGTCATGGTGTTCTCTTTCGACGGTTTCGATGTGCCTTTTACAAGAGCGGTAGGCTTCGGGATACTGGAACTCGGACTGAGGCCGCCACCAGCCGGATTCGCACCGTGGAAGGGACTGCTTGATCCGGCGAGTGGTTTGTTAGGTCCGAAGTTCAGATTGTTTTGCGCAGAAGGATCGCTTGTGGGTTGTTGTTCTTCAATGTTCATTGGTTTCGCATCCTCCATCTGATCTACGTGGTTAGAAGTTATCGATCCTTGTTTTTCATTGGAAACGCCAACTGACTCGACTTCTTCCTCGGTAATGACCTTGTCCCGGTCTGATATTTGAATCTTGGACGGTGAATCAAAGTTCTCCATTCCCGATTGCTCTTCGTGGCTAGCTTCCAAAACTTCCAGCTCCCTCGACATCAGAACCTTGCCGTCCGATAGGTTCGCCTGATTCATGCTCAATGTGCGATTGAAATCGTCATTCTCGCAAGCGAGCATCTCCGATTCGGACGGTTTGATGATGCCGTTGGTGTTCGCCAGAATCGCTTTTTGTATCATCATATCTTTATTCAGACCATTTGGTGGCGGTTTTACACCGTGCAAATAAGGTTTGGGATCTGGTATCTTGCCTGGAAGTTCCATCTTGGGTCGGGGCGAGGCTTTTGTCGTCGGAACTTCGTTCTTCAGAGTCACGCTCTTCGTATCTTGAGAAGTGATTTGTCTAGATGGCGTTAGAACGGAAGAATTCAATTTTGGAGATTGCGGCACTGGTTGCTTCATTAATTCCTGAAGATTCGGCGTCTTTCTTTCACCCGACAACTTAGTACCGACTACTTTATTGATCCTGGTATCTTGTTGCTCCACAATCGCATTGTTATAAGTCGTCGTTAGTTTCTCCGATGAACTTGGCGGACCTTTACTCGTGCGGGCAATTTTGCTCTGGGTTTTACTCTGTTCCTTTCTGCCCGATTTCGGACTTGCCTGCTTCGCCGGTTTGGCCGATTGTAGTTTCGACTTGAGCGCGCGGCTCTTCGGCGACTCTTGAACTTGGGCTTTGCTCTGATCGCACAAAGAAGTCGAACTGTCCGAGTGCTCAGATCGAGCGGAAGAAAATCCGGACGAGCTCGAAGTACGCTTCGAAACTCCCGAGCAGGCTTTTCCGCGCTCTTGATTCTTATCTTTGTTGTTGAAGAGTTTGAACTTGTCCAGCACGGAATTCTTGTTAGGCTGCGGCGCTGGAGCAGCGTTTCCGGAATACAGCGGAGCTTGCTGCTGAGTTCTGAGACCACCGTTGGGTCGTCCCACCGTTGACGCTCGAGGACTGCAAAACCAATTAAGAGATTTAAAAAAAAAAAAAAAGAAGAAAAAAAGATAAAATTAAAACAAACATCGAAAGAAGACTTCATTCGTCATTAAAAATAAGTATCTTTGATCATTTTTTTGCAACGTGGATTTTTACCTCGGAGTAGTGGCTGCGGGTTGTCGATTCGAGTTCTGGGTTCTGGGTTGCGGAATGAAAGAGAGACCACCTTGAGATGGTTGCTGCTGACTCGGACTGGTGCTCCTGGAACTGCTCGCGCTGCCCACTCCGCCGGTTCCGTGCTTCAGACCGCCTTCAAACATACAAAACACAGATAATAAGATATTTTTATTCAATTGTTTTCTGACTGTTTAAAACACTTAAATTACCGTGTGTTGTATGAATGTTTTTTTTAATTAAAAATTTTATTTTATTAAACATTCACGCGTAATCACACGCAACATGCATTACGCGTTTTTGTTTTATCTTAATAAAATTAAGAAAAATATTGGAGAATAAATATCGAATGTGTGTGTCGAAGAATAATATAACGCGCAGAATTATAATCGATTTTTTTTCGCCGTCGCAGGTCACGCCGTTGGCTATGTTTCAATAAAACGATGATCATCGACCGCGTCATTAAACGCGCACAGTCACGCGGCTGTGTTACAGCGGTTCGTTCGCTCTGCGTGTTGCACGATGCAGAGCGCGCGGTGCAGCCCGCGCCATAGACAAAATAAACTGCCCGTGTTTACCGAGAGCGAGAAGATTAATCCGTTACCTCGGTACTACAACCCGATACGCTCCTCGCGAGTAATCGTAGACGTTGTTTCTGTCAAATAATCAGCGTCGACACGCAATTTGCGGACCGGCGAACTCTCAAAATGTAAACAAATGATTAATCATCAAAGCTACATGCTGCGCGAACCCGCAAGCCGGATTTACAAGAATTAATAATTTCAGATGTTTCACACATCGAATAAAATTTAGAAAAAAATAAAATTACTAAAAAATTATTAAAAAATTAAATTGAACTTTAGTTACATTTCAATTGTATAAAATAATTCCAATGACAGTTCTATCTCAGTAAAAGCGAACGAGATTTTTGAATAAAAAAAAAAATGAAATCAATCAGTTAATTAAAAAAAGATGCGTCAAAATTGTTGGCCAATTAGCAGTCGTGATGGAATGCAGGTGAGAGTTAATATCCTAAAATTTTGCAACAACAAATTTCAGTCCATACAGGGTCATCAAAAATTACACCAGCAAAGATTCATTCAGTCAATGTGAGTCAATTTTGCTGACAGGTGCAAATATATTTTAAGCGTGCAAATTAATACACACATAACAATTCGAATTGAATTCAATTCGAAAATTCATCTAGTATGCTTAATTTGTGCGTAACATATAAATGAATATGTACTTCATACTGTACGGAAGAACCCTTCATACTGTAAGGAAGAATCATTACAAACGGCTAAAATCGAATCTCTATACGTATTATTCTCTTATATTTTCTATATGTATTATTCTCTTATGTTTTTGAATTTAACGACTGATAATTTCACAATAAACTTGTATACCTGCGCGATTGTCAAGGTGACAAACATATACGATTCTCACCTTTGCGATGCTTGTTGTTTGCCGGTTGACGACTCAACCGACAATTTTGAAGAAAGGAAAAATACGATAACATCGCCGAGGACCGAGGTGACGAGAAAAAGGGCTTGCGGAGCCAGAGCAGAGAGAGAGTCCGTAGTCGTCGATAAGAACGGATCAAGAGACGCGAGAGATCGAAGCGCGATAGATCGATAGAGTTGTTCAATTAAGTGCGTTTATGTATTATTTTCGTAATAAAGTTAATCAATACACTTTTATATAAAATAAAGTGCTTAATTTNATCATAATATCCTACAATACTTAACCCTTTGTGGTCAGACGATGAGTTAGTCAGACCGAGACCTGTGAGACCCACGCGACTTTAAGATCGAATATCTTCGCAAAAAATCAATATTTTTTTACTTTTTTTTTAATCAAAAGTTTGAACACTTCGCGCACAAATAACGCCGATGCGCAATTTCTGAGTGGATCTGAAAGACTCACGTCTGACTATAAAGGGTTAATTTACCCTTTCCAAAAAATCTATTGTGAAAACGATACTTTGATCGTTTTTTGTTATTTTGTTATTTTTATTTTTCATGGATGTTTTAATTTTTATGGATATTTCATTTATATGCGATGCAAATCAAGCATTGTATAAATGAATTTTCGAATTGAATTGAATTCACAAAAATAATTGCGTGTATTAATTTCAACTATTACGTGCGTTTAATTTACACGTTCGAGAAAATAAAAAAAATGTTTCGCACGAACACCTGGCACATTGGCCTCACACTGACCGAGTAAATCTTCGCTGCTACAATTTTTATTAAGTAAAAAGAAACTGAACCGAACTAACCAAACGAGTACAAGAATAAAAAGTCACAAACTTACAAAGAGACAAGCGTCATCGGGAGATCTTGAAGAACGGGGTAAGAGAGTAAACGTTAATTTTCAGCTCGTCAAGACAGGCAGAACGAAAAGCGCAAACATAACAGGTATATAAGTGGAGGGATAAACATAACAAGTCATACGCGCACGCGAATTTATCTCTTTATAAGGGAAAAATAAACAGTAATTCCGTATCGCTCTGCAAGTTTGGTCTTCATTAGTGTGCTTTTAATAAAACTTGCTTTTTAATTAGAAAAAAAAAAAAAGAACAAAATTAGCGCGAGTTAGATTTTAGACATTTTTATTTTAAAATAAATGATCGAAACGTTCAAAACAGTTAATATATAATTATTGCATAACCACTTCCTTCCGTGGATCATACAGGCTGTAAGGTCTTTTTACTGAATATTTCATAATTTTTCTGGACCTGTCAATTTTTTCTTATATTTTTATTTTAGATTTATCTTCGATGCCTCGAGTTTTTCGTTTTGCAAGTTGCTTCAAAGAGAGCGATGTGCAATGTCGATTTCGCAATTGCTCTTCATTGACGCTCGTGACCCGCAGTAGGCACGAGTGTTTAAATCCGCGCGTCGAGTCCTCTCAATTTGTCCTTACATATATAACGCGTGTGACACAAATATGATTGACATTGAGGCGCGTAAAAGCGCTCCAACGCGATGCAGAGAAATCTTATAACGACTGGACAAGAACTCTCTTCGTGTTTAATACCCTTTCTCGTGCGTGATAACGAATCAGACTCGTAGTAACGATTACAAACCAAACGTGCAAAAAAAAACATGAAAAAAAAAAAAAAAAAGAAACCAAAAAGAATGTCATTTTGGACCGTTTCGTCAAATGAAATTTCATTCTCTATTTTGGCCCGTGTTTTGCACAGAACTAATTCGTACGGGAAAGAATTACGCAATCTGTGTAACACACTCTCTCTGTTTTATTGATTTTCACACCTCGTTGCAACAGCCGTAGCCAATCCTTTGGTTTATGCGAAAAGATCCGCAAAATTACACACAAATGTAACAAGATCTCTTCTCGTTCGCAATAGAATTTATTTCGAAAATAAAAAGCTCGGAAAGCTTTCCGAACGCGCCATTCAGAATTAAACAAAGACGTAAGTCGGATTCTCCCGTCAACGAGGCAAAGATCGAATCTGTGTTCGGGGGTCCTATCGAAACCCGCCAGTCACGGGGGAAGGGGTGTCGTAATAAATTCGATTTCTCTTTTTATCCATCTCACGAAAGAGGAGGGAAAGAGAGACGGACAGTTTAGGGGAGTTAAAACGTGACCGGGCATTCATTCGCCTGTCATGAGAATGATTCATCGCGCGGGCCCGCGCGCGATGTCGATCGATCTGTGTCGCGATTATTAAATAATAATCGCGCGCTGAACACTCGAAGATAGTTCGAAAAATCACGGAGCCGTTTTCTCGTCACCGTCGCCGATACCGTAGATATTGTTATTCTGTTTGCAAATAGCACATCCTTCTTTCAATTCTATCGATTGGAGAACCTCACAGCGTGACGGAAATATATCCTAACGCTTTTAACAACTTTATCTCGCGACGAGAGAAATTATTGTAGGATGGAGAATTGTGTCGGCGATTTCTGCGAAACAGTTCCATTTCGCGAGAAATTTCTTGGCGAGAGAATCGACACGTCGTAACCGCACTCGTCCACTCACTTCACTGCCACTAACGTTTTAACGCTCACGTGTCCCCTTCGTTATTCTCCTCATTGCTTCTTCCGCTCGAGATAAGACAATATATATATGTATACGAGTATATATATATATATATCTCAGTCAGACGTGGGAATGCGTCCGATTGCGACTCTCACCTGATCGATATATAAACTAAATGCCGATATGTAACCAGGCAAATGCATCGGGATATACAGATTAATTTCCGACAAAGTGGAAATATTCACTATTTGTAGAGAAATTATTTCTTCCACTGTTCGTACAGTTTAATGTGTCCAGTGCATCTAACGAGAGAGCTCGTCGCAAACAAATACGTGCAAACCGGCGTTTGTTCTTCTTCCGTAGGATGAACAAATTGTCAACAACGGTAATTTGATACTACTATCAACGCGTTGTTACTACTGCGATTTGAGTGCGAGGGCTGCGAGCAGAGAGATCTCGAGTTCGAATTTCACACTGTCGGATTTTTCCGGGCAGATATCTTTTGATCAAATTTGTCGATTCAAATGCGAACTGAATCGGGCCTCCAATCAACTCGAAGTGTGAAGAACTTATATTAAGCACTTTCGATGGAATTCATCTCAAATCTGTAAAGTTCACCACACTCACACTCTTCTACAAGCTCTTCTTCAAGTTTGGAGATTGGGCGCTTTCCCGTAAAAATTTGCATTGTTAAGAAACCAGAAAATGGAGAGAGGTCAGATTGTATAAATTAATTTACTACCACAACTTATGGATTTCTCTCTCTTCTATACAAGCCGGGCTGTAGAGCCATGGGAGAGAAAAAAAATCGGCAGAAAATAGTTTTTGAGAGAAGATATAAATATCAAAATTTCATTACCTCTGAAACAAGATTCAAAAAATTTGTTTTTTTTTTTTTTATTGCGTCTGGTACATGTTCGATAATATATTTTACATATTGGATCTTTTTCGACGATAAAAACACGAATTTCAGAAAATTTTGATAACATGCGTTTTACAAAACCAAAATGATATTAGATAGTTCAAGCAATCGTTGAATTGTTGCGCAAAAAAAAAAAAAAAATAGTCAAACAGAGTCCAACTCATCTTTAAACACAGAAGGGAGGGTGATTAGATATGCGTTGTGGT